AAAACCCCAAAACCCCAAAACCCCAAAACCCCATAATGCAGTATTGTAAGAATGAAATGGAAAACTTTATTCAATATAAATGTATTTTTATCAAACACTCTTGCTGACAGTTGGCGATTAAGTTCATGCAAATTTTAGGTTCATCTAGTTGAGATTACTGAGTACAGTAAATTCGAGATGCTGATATCATTGTGCATAATCTAAGACTTGATGCTGTTGATTTTACTCTGTTGCTCCTTTAACTTCTCTTCCAAATCAGCTAACTGGTCGTGTAAAGGAGTTATGACTTCTTCAGTGATTCTTTATTGTTCTTCTAACTTTGACTGGCAGGCAATACTCTCTCTTCTCCAGTGCTCATATTCCTTGTTCATAGAATCAATATCATCAGTCACGAAGTCAATACTTTTTCCTAGTGGATTAGTACTTTGGCAAAGAATTTAAATAGCTTTCTTCATGAACTCAATATCATTTTCAGTGAAACCTCCAGCAGCACCTCTTTTCTCAGGAACTGGCATTTGTTCTCCACCAAGTTTCTTTGAGAAAGCTTATTGCTGATTAGCTGCAGGGTTCTGCTTTTGCTTTCCAAGTTTTCTGACTATTTTGACTCCACCACCGCCTCCCTCTGGGACTGATGGTTTATTATCATTCTCCTCCTCAAGCATCTTCTTAGTTTGCTCGACAAAGGCACCATCCTTTCCATCACTCTCAAATCTTCTTTGAGGAGCTTCATATTGAGGTGGTGCTTCTTCTTACATTTCTTACTCCTCTTCCCTCTCATTATCTTTTATTATAGCTGGTGCTTTATTAGCTGCCTTTTTAGCTCCTTTTGCCTGCTTCTTTTATTCCTCAAGCTATCTTTATCTAGCTGCCTCAGCTTCTTATCTTTATCTATCCTCTTCCTCTTCTTATTGTTTCTTAAGCATCGCCTCCTGCTTCTTCTTTTCTTCGATTTTCTTTTTCTTGTCATCTTATTATCTCTTTTTTGCCTCCTATTATCTAGCTTCTTCTTCAGCTCTTGCTTATGCTTCCAATGCTTCAGCTTAACCGTCATCACCTTCATCTCCTCCTCCCATTAATTTTGCTACGAAGGGAGCTGAGTCAATGCCACTGGTTGCAGCTTAGAAAAGTCGTTGTAAGAAATAATTAGTTTTATCAGGTTCTAGTCCTGCAACGATCTTGGATGGCTTTACATCAATCTTCTCACCTACGATCATTTCAGTTAGTGTAATCATCTTGGCAAGAATATTGATTTTAGCATCCTTTTCATGATTAGCTTTTGTGTCTAACTCTGCTTCATCGTAAATTCCATTACCAAAGCCAGTTGCTTGCAAAGTGGCAACAAAGATATCGTGGAGATATCTAAAGGGGGGCTTTAAAAGCAGTTTTTAAGTCATCTTTGGTTTGTCAAAGAGTTGCTCAAACATTTAAGCCTGTAGGTTGTTAAATTTAATGGTAAGTTACAGTAGGTTGCCAGAAGTCGTCTCCCATTTAAAATTTGAATTTCTAAAATATTATAAATTTAATAAGATGAAACTTTCTCAACCCTTGATTTCTTTCTTGTGGGGTTTTGGGGTTTTGGGGTTTTGGGG